GACAAGAACCACATCGTGATATGCGCAAGCGGAAAAGGGAGCTGCGCACATTGGAGGAGGTGGCGGATGAGCAGGAGGACAACCAGGACGAGGAGGAGGAGGGAGAATAGGGAGGAAGAAGATAACGAGGGGAAGGAGGAGCACGAGGCCGAACAGCAGCAGCAGGAGCTGGAGTGGACTACCAGGAGGAGCAGGAGGACCAAGGGAAGGCAGATGAGGGGAAACGGGGGGAGCGACAACGATGAGGAAGGACTCGGATCCAGAAAAGTAGCCCGCGCTGGAGCGGCTACGCCTTTTTGAGCAGCGAGAGTAAAACGCCGATCCTGAGGCGACGCCCGCGCTGCAGCGGCAGCACCAGTCTGAAGGGACGAAGACGGCCACATGGTACAACAAAGCTTGAAGTCCTGCGAGGGAGAGGCGAGCGGAGGGGGTCGGGCCCGTCCCCGTCGCCAGCCGTCTTCGGGGAAGAGAGGATAGCAGTACCCGTCGGTCGGAAGGAGTGGGCATAAGCATGAAGTAGGCGCTGGAACTAGACTGGGTATCCGCCCGCCCTCTGGAGAGGACGGTGAAAAGAAGGCGCTCTTTGATGGAAGTAGAATACCTACTTTCAACGACTGGCGTGTAATAGTGGAGGAGGAGGAAGAGGAGAAGGAGGAGGAGGATAAGGAAGGAAGAAGGAAGGACAGGAGAGGAAGGAAGTACAGGCGAAAGTGACAGTAGTGCAGCCGTCAGGGAGTGCAAGGAAGGAGAAGAATGAAGGAAGGAAGGAGGAGGAGGAGACAGAGTCGGCAGGAGGGAGGTAAGGAGGATGAGTATGAGGGGCGATGGAGGAGAAGGACGAGGAGGAAGGGAGGAGAGGGAGGAAGAAAGAGGGAGGAGGCAGGAGGGCACGGAGGAGGAGGCAGAGGAGAGGATAAGGAGGAGGAATAGGAGGAGGAGGAGGAGGAGGACAGGGAGGAGAGGGAGGAGGAGGACGAGGAGGAGGACGAGGAGGAGGAGGAGGAGGAGGAGGAGGAGGAGGTTGAGCGCAGCTGGGAGCGACAAGCCTCCGCGGACAGCCGCTGCCCACGCGGGGGTGAGGCCCGCCACGGCGGGCGGCGGCAGCGAGGCGCCGCCACAGGGGCTGCAGAGGGGGGGAGGATACCCCCAGACTCCCCTTCCTGAGTATCGTTTAGCCGATCCCCATCCCCAGCGGCGTGGCCTGGGCCCCACTGGTCGATTTACTCCCCTGGTTGGGGATATAGGTCGTTCTCTTCGGGTTTTAGGGGTATATCCCCAACAGGGGTGGTATTTGGTGGGGGTCTCGAAGGCGATGGAGATGGGGATGGGGATCGGATAAACGATACCGACTTTCTGCGGCAGCCCCTGGTGGCGCCCGCGGCAGGCGGCTGCGGCTGCGGCAGAGCTCCCTGAAGCCAGCCCTGAAGGTGCTTCCAAGCGGTAAACTGGGATGACTGCTACGAGACGGTGCACTTCCGGCCCGTGGCCGAGGCCCCTCCGCAGTGCGCGTCGGAGATTGGGTTATGCAGCGCGCGTCGGAGGACGCGCGCAGGCGAGGGACGTGACCAAGCTGTCCATCGCCCTGAACGTCGCGCTCGACGCCGCCGCCGCCCGCCCTTGCTAAGGAGGGCTGGCAGGCGCCCAACCGCCCCCGCAGGAACCAGCTGTTCAGGCTCTGGAGCGACATGGTTTTTGTCTTCGTGGTGCGGAGCCTCCGCCTCCGGCCCACGAGATGGACCACTACGAGGACGAGGATGAGAACGAGTACGAGGATGAGAACGAGGGCGTGTTCAAGGGTTTCGACGGCACCACGGTGGTCGTGACGGAGGAGCAGGAGCACGGCGTGGCTGCATTCATGGTTTTGCACAGCGATAAGGAGGAGGAGTCTGAGGACATGGAGGGCAAGGAGGAGTTCGAGGGCACGGAGAGCAAAGGGATCGTGAGGGAGAAAACTGTGGACCTGGATCAGTCGTGCACACCTAGCTCGGCAGACGTGGAGATGCCTGATGTGGTCCTTCCTGAGGCTTGGCTACGCCTTCGCGACTGGCGTGCTGATGCCCGCTCGGGCCAATTCGTTCGCCTCCGCCTACGCCTCGAGCGTGCTGAGGCTACGCACAGCCCGCCCAAGCGGGAACGTGACCTTGACAAGTCAGAAGTGACAACTCAATTCTTCGAGGCGGCCTTCAGATTCGGGTACTCGGACGTTGGGGCCAGTTGGCTACGTGTGCGACGCGACGCTATCTGTTTTGCAAGAACGAGGGTTTGGATATGAAGGCGCACATGGGCGGTGTCTGCTCCGACGACAACGGTTTCGACCAGGAGTTCGCAGCGGCGATGGCCGCTTCGTGCTGAATGTGCGCCGTCCTGCTGACTTTACACTTATCTAATCTAGAACTTCCAGTGTAGACTTCCTAACAAATGTTTCATTCTGTGCTGATTGCCCTCGCTGCCCCCGTGTTGGTCCCTGGTGGTGGGCATTTGCCCGACGACCTCGCCAACGCAGGCTTCGGTATCGGGAGCAGCGAAGGGGGTGGCAGATGTCGTGACAAATGTGGTCCTCACAGTCCGCCTCCTTACTGCCCCCCTAGCCGATCTCCTGCTTCCTCGGCGCTGCCTCCTCGAAGGGCGTGAAGTGGTCGAGCTGCCGCTGCTGCGGGTCCTACTAGCAGGTCGAGGCGGTGGAGTCGGAGGTTGAGGCAGCTGCTCTCGCACGCGACCTTGGCCGTCAGGTCGGCCTCTCGCGTATGTCGGCCTCTCGCGGTGCGATAGGCGACCTTGGCGCAGCGCCTCTTGCCGGCTCTCTTGCAGGGGACGTCCGAGGCGGTCGAGGAGGCTAATTGGGAGGAGGTGGAGGCGTCGAGGAAGCACGATGTTCTTCGCAGCCTGCTTGTGCCGGCTCTTTGGCCGCCGCGCCGTCGGAGATGGCGCGCAGGCCCGCGACTTTGGCCTGGTGGCCTCTCGCGACCCTGGCCTGATGAGAGGCAGGTGGGTCTAGTAACGGTGGGGGAGGCGAAGCGTCACGACGAAATCTGTGTGTTTCAATGCGCGCCGTTCTGGGTGGATTCGTCGACAGCAGCGGCGGAGTCGCAGCAGAGTGCCGCTGGCTGCTGATGCCCCTGCTCTTCCTCGTCGTCACAACTGGTGTCCAAACTGCACGTCGAAATGAGCGCCTGACTGTGACCGTGGCTGATCTTGAGCGAAAGGCCAGCCTCTATGGCCGACGTTGGTGTCTCTCGGACAGTGCCCGTGGCCCCCCACCCCGATCTCTCCCTAGCGTAGGAGAGGTTGCTTGTGGCAAGGGCTGGGCGCCGCTAGCTCAGTGCAGCTTCGCGCCCCTTGGCTGGTCCTCCGAGCGTGCATTGAGGATGGTGGTGGAGTTGGAGGAGGGTCTGGAAGTGTTGGAGGATTGAGGGTGGCACGTCGTCCTGGGCCAAGTCGCCGCTGGCAGTCATGGCCAGCGTAGCGTCTTTCGACTGTAGCCTCGGGCCTCTCGTGGGGAAGATGAGGTCAGGGGGCCACATGCGAACCCTACCCCTACCCCCCACGATTCCTCAGGGGGAGGGTGGGGTTCACTTCGTTCGGGAGCTCCCGAGCGAAGTGGACCCCACCCTCCCCCTCCGAAATGGTGGGGGGTAGGGGTAGGGTTCGCATGTGGCCCCCTAGAGGTCGAAAATGGTGCCGCTTTGTCTGCCGAGCTGCTCTGCTGGGCGCCAACCGTGGACCGCGCACGGCCAGCTGCTGGAGGAGTGGAGGGTGGTGGGGATGTGATGATGATGATGATGATGATGATGATGATGATGATGATGATGATGATGATGATGATGATGACGATGACGATAACGATGACGATGACGATGACGACGATGATGATGATGATGATGATGTGATGATGCATTATGATGATGATGTGCAATGATGATGATTATGTTGCTGCTGCATGATGATGATGCGGTGCTCAGCCTGAGGGCGGTTGGGCGCATCGGCAGGGAGGCGGGGGGGGGAGGAGAGCGGATGGGGCTGGGGGAGCGCGGGGAGGAGGGGGCGGAATGGCTGGAAGCTAGTTGGGGCTGAAGAGGATGAGGATGATGATGCTGATGAAGAATGTATGATGATGAATGTGCGTGGATGATTGATAGGAGGTATGAGGGATGATGATATGGTCTTGTGATGTGCTGGTGCTGGTAATGTGATGATGATGATGATGATGATGATGATGATGATGCTGATGATTCTATGATGAGATTGATGATGGGCGGGACGAGGAGAGGCGGCGGACTGAGCAGGAGGAGAGGAGGAGGGAGGCGGCCCGGAGGCGCGTGCGCTGCACCGTCATCTTTTGTTTAGGTCCCCCCTTTCGTGACGGCATCCCCCGATCCAACATACCTCGAGCTCCCGCTGATTCGGGCCGAGGGGGTAGGGTGGGACAACCTGACGGAGGACCTCTACTACTTTCACCTGTTGCCGTTCTGCAAGTGCCTCTCCACTTCGCTCCCGCCCAGCACCTTTACATCCTTGCCATGATTGAATGGTCTTTCGCCTTGCACCCGCTATTCCTTGAACGAGCTGTTGGTGGCGACTGTCGTGATGCCGCCGAGAGATCCTGCTGTCCTGTGCAAGGCACGCCTGCCTTGCTCTTGTGGCTGCTGCTGCTGGTGCTGCTGCTGCTGCTGTAGCGGCCGACTCTGCTGACGCTTCTGGCCCCTGAGACCCAACAGCTTGCGTAAGAAGTCTCCTCCGACTCATTCATCCTCCCACCCCCGCGCCTGGACCACGCTGTCGTGAAGCGCGCTGGGGTCGAGGAGGGACCTCTGCCTCCCTCGGGTGGGAAGACGGACAGATTAACGGATCGCCGCGACCAACGCCAGAGCTTTCCCGACGCCGTGTAAGAGGAGGAGGAGGAGGAGGAGGAGGAGGAGGAGGAGGAGGAGGAGGAGGAGGGAGGAAGTAGGTGGAGGATGAAATGGAAGAGGAAGTGGAGGAGGAGGAGGAGGAGGAGGAGGAACCCGCAGCGGCCCGGGAAGCGTCCCGTATGCCGTTGGCCTCGGCGCCGGAGAGGCCCATGCCCGGCACTGAGCCGTCGTCGGCGTGGGGAAAGACCTCCAGAGGAGGAGGGCGACGACGACGAGGACGAGAACAAGGAGAAGGAAGAAGACGAGGGCAAGGAAGGGGAAAAAGACGAGGACGAGGAGGAGGAAGAAGACGAGAGGAGACAGGACAAGGAGGAAGGACGAGGAGGAGGAAGGAGACGAAGATGACGAGGACAAGGAGGAAGAAGACGAGGACAAGGAGAGAGGTTGTGAGGGAAGAGTCGAGTCGGTCAGGCCCAGCCCGTCGTTAGACGGGATGGCACTCCATATGGCCAGGCGTGGGAACATCGATGGGCGGCGAACGATTGGAAAAGTACAGGGCGGCTGGTTATAGATAGGGGTGACGACGACGAAGAGGGGAGGGGAGGGCCACGAGGAGGATGAGGATGAAGAGGGAGGGAGAGGGAGGACGAGGAGGAAGGAAAGAGTCGAGTCGCACCGACCGAGCCCGCCCTCAAACAGACTCGCTCTATTTACTCCCGACCCTCCTACGTTGGGATACGATGTTGTACAGAACGCTGCGGTCTGCGTCATCATCAACCTCCTCCACCTCCTCTTCCTCCTACTCCTCTTCCTCCTCCCCCTCCTCTTCCTCCTCCTCCTCCTCCTCCTCCTCCTTTTCCTCCTCCCGCCCCTTCACTTGTCCATTCGAGGGACCTCTTGCATTGGGCTCTCGTTTTGCCAGTTTTTCTGCGTCGGCCTCTCGTTCTGAATAGAGCACTGCGACATCCGTCCTCCCTCCAGCCTCCCTCGTGGCTCCTCCTGCCTCCTGCGTCCATCCTACTTCATCCTGATCCCTGCCTTTCTTGGGGAGCTGTGAAATGCGAAACTGTCGCCCCTTTCGTGGGCTCCTGGGAGGCCAAACGGGGTGACGTTAGACGCGGATCAGAACAAGACCTCGCCCTCCCTGGGAGCGGCGAGCTGCGAAATTCTCGCCACGTGTTTGGGTTCCTGGGAGGCCCAATGGAGTCACATCATACGCGGATTCGAACAAGCCCTCGTCCTCCCTGGGAGCTGCAAGTTGGAAAACGTTCGCCATGCTCGTAGATTCTTAGGAAATCCAGCGGGGTGACCTCATACGCGGATAAGAACATGACCTCGCCCTCCCGGGGAGGGGGGGACGGCGAGCTGCGAAACTGTCGCCACTCTCGCGGGCTCCTGGGAGGACCACTGGAGTCACGTCGTACGCGGATCCGAAAAGAAGACGTTGCCCCCCCTCGGGTCGGAGAAATGCGAAACTGTCGTCACCCTCGCGGGATCCTGGGAGGCCCAATGGAGTCACGTCAGACGCGGATCCGCACAAGACCTCGCCCTCCCTGGGGGCGGCAAGCTACGAAACTGTCGCCACTCTCGCGGGCCCCTGGGAAGTCCAGCGGGGTGGCGTCAGACGCGGATCCGAGAAAAACATCGCCCTCCCTGGGGGCGGCGAGCTGCGAAACTGTCGCCACTCTCGCGGGCCCCTGGGAGGCCCAGCGGGGTGACGTCACACACGGAATTGCGAAACGGTCGCCACGGCAGTGGGCTCCCAGGGGGGGCCCTGCGCAGTGACGTTACACGCGCATTTACCACAAACAAACTTGCCCTCCCTGGCGGCGGCGAGCTGCGAAACTCTCACCACTGCCGCGGGGCTCATAGGAGGCCCCGTGTAATGGCGTCATACGCGGATCAGAATAACACCTCGACCACCCTGGGGGCTGCGGACTTCGCAACCGTCGTCATACTCGCGGCCTGCTGGGAGGACCACTGGAGTCACGTCATACCAGATCGGAATGAGACCTCGCCCGCCCTGGAGGCTTCGAGCTGCGAAGCTTGCGCCACTCTCGCGGGCGCAGAGGAGGCCCAGCGGGGTGACGTCATACGCGGATCAGAGTAAGACCTCGCCCTCCCTGAAGGCGGCGATCTGAGAAGTGTCGCCCCTTTTCGCGGGCTCCTGGGAGGCACAACGGAGGGACGTCATACCCAGATCCGCCACCGTGCCCTGAGGCTCGAGTTGGGGTGTCCTCAGGTGAAAGCTGCAAAGAGGTAGGCGCGCTGGTGGCCTTGCCTCTGCCGACGCGCCAGTGGCGCGAAGCCCCTAATTAATCAAATGACTAAACCGAAACAGGCCGCAGCGGCCAGGCCTGGCCACGGGCAGCAGGTCAGGCGGCAGGCGGCCGCCGGCCAAGTCCAGCCAGCCACCGAGAAGCGGGGCAGAGGGAAGGAGGGAGGGGAGGGGCCGCCCGGCCGCCTATGCCACCCCCGCCGGTGCAGCAGCAGCACCACCACCACCACCACCACCGCTCAATCCTGAGGAATCTTTCAAGGGGCCCAGACCCCAAAGTCTCAAATCGTCTTGGGCTCGTCGCGTGCCTCCTCGGGCCCGTCGCGTGCCAGGGAGCGTCCCGCCTGCCTTCTTCAGTGCTCTAAGAGGCCCCGAAGACCGTCCAAGAGGGCCGCGAATCGCCGAACGATCGGTCCAGGGCGCCCAAGATGGCCTCCTGTCGGCCGAAAACGCTTCCGACGCTCCAAGACGTCCTCCTGTTGGGCCGTCTTGAAGCGTCTTGGAAGCCCGTGGCCGTCTTGGGGATCTCTTGGGGGCCTCTGGGGGCCATCTTGGGAATCTTTTTGGGCTCTCTTGGGGCCGTCTTGGGGCCCTCGTCGACCGTTTTGGAGCCCTCTGGGGCCGTCTTGGGGCCCTCTTGGACCGTGTTCGGGTCATTTGGGGGGCCTCGTGGGCCGTCTGGGGACAATCATTTGGGCCGTCCTTGGGCCGAAAAGGCGATAACCCCAAAAACTATCCAAAAAAAACTGGAAAAACCAAGTGGCACGCGTGCCATGGCGCTTGCGCAAAAGAAAAAGAAAAAGAGGAGGAGAAGGAGGAAGAGGAGGGGGGGAGGAGGAGGGAGGAGGAGGAGGTACGGAGGAGGAGGAGGAAGGAGGAGGAGGTCAGGAGGAGGAGGAGGAGGAGGAGAAGGAGGCGGAGGAGGAGGAGGAGGAGGAGGAGGAGGAAGGAGGAGAGGAGGAGGAGGAGTGGAGGTAGGGTGGTCGAGGAGGATGAGGAGGGAGGAGGAGAGGAGGACGGAGGCGGAGGAGGAGAGGAGCGGAGGAGCAGGAGGAGCAGGAGGAGGACGAGGAGGAGGAGGATGGGGGAGAGAGGGGACGAGAAATCGGAGAAAGGTCAGGGGGGCGGAATGGTGGGGGCGGTGCGACGCCGAAATAAAATCGTCGGGGCGGAGGGGAGCGGGGTGCACTGTGCGGGTGTGGAGGGCGGACGGGTCGTGGGGGCGGGACGGTGGGGGCCGTGCGACGCCGAAGTAAAGTGGTCGGGGCGGAGGGGGCGGGGTGGACAGGGCACTGGACGTGGGGCGATGCGACGCCGAAATAAAGTGGTCGGGGCGGAGGGGGGGGCGGGTGGACAGGTCACTGGGCGGGGGGCGGTGCGACGCCGAATAAATTGTGCGGGGCGGAGGGGAGCGGGCGGGTGGGAGGGCAGAAGGGTCGTGGGGGCAGGACGTATGGGGCCGTGCGACGCCGAAGTAAAGTGGTCAGGGCGGAGGGGGGCGAGGTAGAAACGGCACTGGACGGGGGGCGGTGCGACGCCGAAATAAAGTGGTCGGGGCGGGAGGGGTCAAGGCTGGTGGTGTTGTGGCTGTGTGGTGGGGGGTGGTGAGGTGGGCGGGAGGGGCGGAGCGGTGGGGGCGGTGCGACGCCGAAATAAAGTTGTCGGGGCGGAGGGGGGCGGGTTGCAGAGGGCACTGGGCGGCTGGGGCGGGGGGAAGGGTCGGGGGGCGGGGCGGTGGGGGCGGTGCGACGCCGAAATAGTGGTCGGGGCGGAGGGGGGTGGGGTGGAGAGGCACTGGAAAGGGGGCGGTGTCATGCTGCTGGTGGTGGTTGGTGTATGAAATGGTCGGGGCGGGGGGGGGGGCGGGGGGGGACAGGGCACTGGACGGGAGGCGGTCACGCTGGTGGTGGTGATGGTGTGGTGTGGTGGTGGTGTGTGGTGTGGGTGGTGTGGTGGGTGTGGTGCTGGTGGTGCTTGGTGGTGCTGGTGTGGTGTGTGGGGTGGTGGTGGTGGTGGTGGTGGTGGTGTGGTGTGTTGGTGGTGGTGGTGCTGGTGGTGCTGGTGGTGGTGGTGGTGCTGGTGGTGGTGGTGGTGGTGGTGGTGGTGGTGGTGGTGGTGGTGGTGGTGGTGGTGGTGATGGTGGTAGTGGTGGTGGTGGTGGTGGTGATGGTGGCGGTGGTGGTGGGTGTATAAAGTGGTCGGAGCGGAGGGGGGGGGTGCGACGTCGAAAAAAGTGGTCGGGGCGGGGGGGCGGGGTGCAGAAGCACTTGACGGCGGGTGGTGTCACGCTGATGGTGGTAATGGTGGTTGGTATATAAAGTGGCCAGGGCGGAGGGAGGCGGGGTAGACAGGGCACTGGACGGTGGGCGGTGTAACGCTGGTGGTGGTGGTGGTTGGTGCGGGTGGGTGGGTGGGTGGAGGGGCGGGAGGCGGGGCGGTGGGGGCAGTGCGACGCCGGAATAAAGTGGTCAGAGCTCTAGACACCCTGTGCAAGAACGCCCTTGTGGAGGGCCTCTTGGGGGCCTCTTGGAAGGCCTCGGGGCCCGCTTGGGCCATCTTGTAGGCCTTCGGCCTTACTGGAGCTTTCCTTGCGGCTTTGGGGGCCCCATTGGGAGCCTCTTTGGGCCCTCTTGGGGCTCTCTTGGGGCGGTCGTGGTGCCCTCTTGGGCCGCTTCGGGACCCTCTTGGGCCGCCCTTGAGCCGTTTCATCCGAAGGAAACCCGCCGACCCTGTCGGCGTGTGCGAGGGGCTTGGCTGTTCGAGTCGTCGTCTCCGTCGGTCGTCGCCTCCGTCGTCCCCTTTCCCTGCAGCTTCCTTCTCAAGCTCGTGAGCGAGAGAAAAATCTAGCAGTGTCGTAATCGAGTCGAAGGGAAGCCCCTTCCCTTCGATCCCTTCCCCAGGGGGGGGGGTCCCGGGGGGGGTCCCAGGAGGGGTGGGGGGGGGAATGGGGGGGCAGATTCGTTTTCCCT